AAGAGTCCCTGATGGAGCAGGAGAAAGGTGGGGTGCAGAACTCAAATTCTAGTAAGAAGACCAGACTTAATGGTCTGACTGAGACTGGAGGAACCTCGGAAAGCATAGCCCCTGGATTATCAGCCCAGAACTAAAACAATTTCTGAGGCCACCTCTTCTGACAGGGAATGGACAGGACTGTGGGACATAAAGTGATACTCGTGAGGAGTGTGCCTCTTAGCTCAAGTAGATACAAGAGACTAAACGGGCAGCTTCTGTCCGGAGGCGAGATGAGAAGGCAGAGAGGGTTAGGAGCTGGCTGAACGGACATGGGGAATCAGGGGCGGAAAGGAGAAGTGTGCTGTCACAGTATGGGGAAAGCAATTAGAGTCACATAATGATGTACATATAAATTTTTGTATGGGAAAAAATAAAAATAAAAAAGCCCTATGGCGCATAATTCTATTCTGAGACACGTGGGTTCACCATGAGTTGGAATGGGCTTGATGGCAACTGGTTTATAGCTTCCAGCAGCCCCAAAACAATGCTCTCAAGGTACTTACCCTCCATTATCAGCACTGTCACAATGCTAATGACAAAACGATGAACTAAGAGCTTCTTAGTAATCTAACCCACCCTTTTATATATAAAAGATGTACCACACTGTTAGGTTGTTATTAGAAAAAGCATTGCTATTAATTTTTTTCTTCTTCTTGCAAAAAGTTTGGAAAATTACTCCAGGCACGCATGCATGAGCGCACACACACACACAAACACACACCTGAGACAGGATGGTTCTCTGGCATTGAACTGACATCTCCCCCTACAACCTATTGGGACCTCACAATCCTCACACACAACCTTGGCTTGAGCTGCAGAGAAATTTTATGCCAAATTTGTGGGTGAGAAAGCCAATTCCATCCTTCCTTCAGGAGGATATACAGATGATTATTACACAACTTTAGGATGACCCGGGCCTTCCTGTCTCAGGAAGCTCCCAAAGGCTCCTAATTGCCTCTTATTCATCACTGCAGTAGGTTTCAAACCTGTTCAGATGCTGCAGCCTCTGGAAGCCATGCAGCCCATCAAGGAAAAACATGAAATAGTGAAACACTTCATTTCTTCTTATGAACCAGGAACAATTTTTCTGGCAGAAAATGCAGTATACAACAGTCATGTAAAAGCACGGCATAAACTTGTGTGTTCTCAACAAAATAACAGAGTTACCAAACTACCTAGCTGTCTTTGAATTTCTTTGGCTACTTATGCATTCATTCAATTGTCTACTAATACTCACCAACAGGCATTTGGTAGCAGGTGTCAACTGTATAGTTTAAGAAAAGCTGACAGAAGAAAAACTTGAAACTGAAAGAAACTATTTCTATTAACCCATTTTTTTCTTCTGTGATTTGGGAAAGGTCATTATTCGTTTTTATCAATGCGATTACTGGGTTGTCGGAGGAAAACCTGGGAAACACTGCCTTCCGGGAAGTCTTCTTTCAAAGTCTAATCATTACCATTCTTTGCTAAAGATAAGGAAATTCTCTCTCTCACACACACACAAACACACACACAGGCTACCATATTTGAAAAAAATTTCTAATTCTCACCAAGTTTATAATAATCAAAAAGTCAGTGAAAATGGTTATTTTTAAATAATAAATTTGTCAAAAATTAGACCAATATTTTGAAAGCACCAAGAAGCAAAATGACTCCTACAACCACATTCTATTATAACATGTACAAGCATTTAGCTGAAATAATTTTCAAAGTTGACTGCATAAGAATCTTTAATTACATATTGTTACTGGGACTGACTTAAAGTCAAAGCCAATTAACAGATACGAAAAAAATGTCTTTGATGGTAATGCCCTTAAAATACAAAATGATATTAAAACCGTAAAGTTTACAATAGCAGTATTTTTCTAAGCAGGGTACACACTCTACAGGAATATGTACACTGCAAACAGGTCTGTGCTCTCCAAAAATGACAACACACCAAGTGAAGCAGAAAGAAATGCACAAACAGTATGAAATCTTGAAAAAAGAGAGGGCAGCATCTGGAGCTTCTGGCATGCTACTAAGAATAAATACTGGCAGGGACACAAATTCTACAGTCTCTGATCGAGGCTGTGGGGCTGTGATGTGGGAAGCTGTTTTTTTCCTCTTAATTAGAGTAAAATGCCCTGCAGAACAAATTTGTAGGTAACTAATAAACACAACAATAACTGTCCTTCCACCCAAGTCATTTTCAAAGTCTCACACTTAAAATAAACTAGAAATTTCAAGTAATTTATATAGCTACCGCATTCTCAAGGGAACCATAATTACTCATTCCTTAAGTGACTTTCTTCCAAAGAGTACAGTGTGGAAAGAGGAACCAAAGAGGAACCTTACAGTGGAGAAACCTGGCAAACAGTACCTCAGCCAGGTGGCCAAGGCCCACCATCAACAGTGATAAGTCATGCTGATATAAAATGTACTCTTGATGTGACAAAAATGGCACTTCACATCTCTGTAGACTCCCTCCCCTCCAAAACCCATAAAAATCAGTTGCTGTTGAGTCAATTTCGACTCATGGCAACTCCATGTGTATCAGAGTAGAACTGTGGTCCATAAGGTTTTCAATGGCTGATCTTTCAGAAGCAGATTGCCAGGCCTTTCTTCTGAGGCACCTCTGGGTGGACTCAAACCTCCAACCTTTCAGTTAGAAGCCAAATGTGTTCACTGTTTACAACATCCAGGAACTCCCCAAAATCCATGTTGTAAATCCTAACCCTTACACTTGGAGATGTAATCCCATATGGGAAGAGTTTTCTTCATTATGTTAATGAGGCCAAGTCAGTGTAGGGTGTGTCTTAAACCAATCACTTCTGAGAATAGAGCAGATTAGACACAGAAGCAAAGAAGTACACATGGGGAAGATAGATGCCATGCCACATGAAGATGGCCAAGGAACTGAGGAACAGAAGCTGAAAAGAGACAAGGATCTTCCCCCAGAACTGACAGAGAAAGCTCTCCCCTAGAGCCAGTACCTTAAATTTGGACTTCTCGCCCCCTAAACTGTGAGAAAATAAATTTCTGATCATTAAAGCCACTCGCTTGTGGTATTTCTGTTATAGCAGTACTAAGAAATTAAGACAACCCACAACCCCAGTCTAAGCATGAGAAAAACATCAGACAAATCCTAACTGAGGGACAGTCTGCAAAATAACTGACTATACTCCTCAAAACTGTCAAGGTCATCAGAAACAAGGAATGCCTGAGGAACTGGTCACAGCCAAGAGGCGCCTAAGGACACATGATGACCGAACATAGTGTGCATTCTGAGCTCCCAGAGCAGAAAAAGGGCATTAGGTAAAAACTAAGGAACTCTAAATAAAGTTTGGGCTTTAGTTAGTAATAACACATCAATATTTGGTCATTAATTATAAGCTACCATACTAATTTAAGATATTAATAATAGGGGAAACTAAGCGTGGGGTATATGGCAACTTTCTCTTCTATCTTTCCAATTTTTCTGTATATCTAAAACTCTCCTGAAAAATAAAGTTAATTTAAAAAAAAAAAATACCCTGCGTTTGGTTGTTTCAGTTTCCACATACTCACAGACTGGGTAGAAACATGGCAATGCAAGTTGTTGTCTATCTTTAAAATTTGCTCTCATTGTTGGTCTAGGCTGAATTAAAACAAAAGATATTCTAACAAAATCATCCAAAAAAGGAAGTCTAAGATGACTACTCCCCTCTGACACTATTAAATTTGACCGACATCTTCATACTTCCTGTACAACTGAAAACCAGGGCCTCTCAAGAAACCCTCCAGAGTATTTTCTGTGTACTGCCAGTTCCACAGAGCCATTACAGAGAAAATAAAGGGTGTGTGTGTGTTGGGTGAGTTCTGTGGTCACCATTTCTTGGCAAGCTTCGTAAAGTCAAGGTAAAATAGGTTCCTTTACTGATGAACTTCTTAGGGTCTTTAATGGAAATGTGCACAGTGAAAAGCATGGTATTTTACGTCATTCCCCAAACTTACCTGAGCACAAAATGCGCTGGTGGGGAGGAGAGCGTCTCCAAGCACTAGGCTGTATGGTACAATTTGGGAAACACAGCTTTTAATGCAGCAGTCAAGGATCCAAAGCCAAGGGACCTGCTGGCTGTTCTAAAAAGCCTCTTCTGACAGCCCCGCCCTTCCCCACTCCACCCAGGACTGCACAGAACACTGCTTCTGTGATACTTTGAACCTCCCGATACCACAGTCTTCACCATTATGTAAGTATTATTTTTAGTTACTGGCACATGAAGTGGATGGGTTTCTATGAGCTTGTAACTAAAAGCTGGGGAGGGGTTTATAATATATGCTTTCATCTGGGAGGAAGAAAAGATTACAAATAATGGATTTCCTCACTGCTATGCCCCTCCTACAGAAATGATCGCTGATATTAATTTGGAAGGAAGAGCAATAGTACTTTGGGTATATTTCTTCAGAAACTGTGGATCATGACAGTCACTACAGATGAGAACAGAATACCCCTCAGCCGACTCTCAGAACTTACAGTTCCCTTCTAAGTTGATCCTCTGAAAACTTAAGAACAGTTGAAGAGCTATGAACAGCAGTATATGGTGAAAACAAATAAAAAAAAAAAATCTACTTAAATTTATTTATTCTTCTTCACTTAGTTTCTTCACTAGACTAAATAGAGTGACTTTACTTCTGAAAACTCAAATAAGAACACAGATGTGAGATTTGCATGGCACTCCAAAATACTAATTAGATTTAATTTAACAAACGTTGAAAGGAATCATCCTGCTTCAGAGTAGATTTAGTCACACTCACAATGTAGTAGTTACCTTGTAATATGCCAACCGTCTGACATGGCTGAAGAATGGGGGTGGGGGTGGGGTGTTATTTACCAAATAAATGCCATGTAAAACTACAGCCTAAATTTTTTTTTATTTACTAAAACTTTTCAGCTGGCTAATTCCCTAAGTCCCTGAATAACATATCAGGGAGAAAGATGAGGCAGTCCGCTTTGGAAAAGATTACAGCCTTGGAAACCCTATAGGACAGAGTAGAAGTGCCCCCTTAGGGTACTTCTGTACTATAGGGTCACTAGAAGTCAGAATCAAATTGATGGCAACACCATTTGTTTTTGTTTTTTTTAAGTCCCTGATTGGAATCCAGAGGGGTAAGGCTATTTTATTGATCTTTTTTATTTTTGTTAACCTTCTGCAAACTACTATATTGTAAAGCAATATACAATAAAGTATATTTGCAGAAAGTTAACAAAAATCTAAAAACTGAGCATAATAAATCTAAAACAAAAAAATTAAAATTTTCTCTAAAATTCATGCTAGTAGCATACTGTAATCTTTAAAAAGTCACTGAAAAATTAAAAGCATTTCAAATTTTACTGGAAAGTAAGACTAGAAATCACCAGGAAAGGCCAATTGCTAAAGAAAGACTTCATGTTTGGTAGAAGGTCGGCAAAAGCCAAGAAAACCCTTCAAGAGATGGATTGACACAATAGCCTTAACAATGGGCTCAAAAGTATCAAAGACCATGGAGATGGAGCAGGAGTTTCCTTCTGTATACATGGGGTCACCACGAGTCTGAAATGACTAAAGAGCAACTAACAACAACAAAACCAGAAACTTAGGAAAAAAAAAAAAGTAGGCTTAAAAAGTAAAGAAATTAGCAATTAAAACTTAACTCTGACATTGCCCCTGGATCCCAGTCTCCCAACTGGCAAAGTAAATCCAGACTGAATAAAGAGTAGAGGTTATTCAGCAGAAAGTTTTAAAAGTTCCAGAGAAATGAGGGTAAATGGTTTGTGCACAGCTTCCAGCTAACACCCACAGTCCCCACCAGCGATTTTAATGGGTTGGAACTTTAGAGAGGTGTTTAACTCTGCCAGATCTGTGGCTTTTGAGGTCCTTGATTAACATATGTGGAATATTTCAAAGTGCCTTTAAAGCTTTTTCCCCCTTATTATCTGAACATTCCAGAGAGCAGTTTTTTAATTCTGATATTCAGCTTTAACTTTTTCTAGCTTCTACTTCCACCTTTATGATCACCTGCTTATTCTCACTATGCCTCGGAGCAGAGTGGCGTCACTTGAAATGAATGTGGGCAAGCCGACCATATCGTGAATAGGCCACCACACCAAATCCACTGCCTTGAGTGGATTCCGACTCACAGCAACCCTGTAGGAGAGAGTAGGACTGCCCCGTAAGGTTTCCAAGGCTGTAAATCTTTACAAAACAGACTGCCACATCTTTCTCCCACGGAGCAGCTAGTGGGTTCAAACCACCAACCTTTCGGGTAGCAGCCAACTGTTTAACTACTGCACCACCAGGGCTCCTTGGTGAAGAGGTCAGAGTCTGAGAACTAAGTAGATTTTTCAGGCTGTCATTCAGACAACAAATTGAAAACTTTAATTCCTTTTCTTTAGCAATGGGACATAACCAGGGACAAAAGTGTCTGACTACCTTGTGCTAGGACTTAGTAAGTTTTCTCATTTAATGTCCCCAGCACCTATGGGGCAGCTATTTCTATCATTCCCATTTTTACAACAAAGAAACTGACTCAGCAGTGAAAAATAACTTTCTCCAGCAGTGGCAGAGAAGAATTTTAACCCAGGCTTTGTTGCTCCAAGCCTGTACTCTTTCTGGCTTACATGTTCCCTTCTCAGAATGTGATGTAGTATTAAGAAACCAAATCAGTTGTTGTGGAGTCGATTTTGACTCACAGCAACCCCATGTCTTTTAGAGTAGAACTGTTTTCAAGGCTGTGATCTTTCACCACGTCTTTCTTCTGAGGTGCCTTTGGGTGGCTTCGAATCTCCAACCTTTTAGTTAGCAGCCAAGCACTTAAACATTTGTGCCGCCCAGGAACTCAATGCAGTAATACAGAGATAAAAGAAAAAAGGATTCAACCAGCATCAGGAAAGAGGGTAAGACAATGTCCCTCCATATTCATTACGGCTAAAAAGCATCACTGATTTAGCAAAAGTTCCATCAGGAAAGTATCTCCCTTCCCAATCTCCCAAACTCAGAAATCATAAAGAACAACTTTAGACATAGTACAAATGGCTAAACATGACCAGGCACACTGGTGGCACAGTGGTTAAGAGCTCGGCTGCTAACCAAAAGGTCAGCAGTTCAAATCTACCAGCAGCTCCTAGGGGCAGTTCTACTCTGTCCTATGAGTTGGAACCGACTTGATGGGCTCAACAGTCTAATGGGGTGATACTATACTGAAGAAAAAAAATTACATCTGTCCTTATCCAGAAAGAAAGGAGAATTTATAAATATGAGTAAAAACAGAATAATAAAGAAATTGGTGAGTAAGAGGGCATAAGAGAGTTTAGGCCTTTAAATTTGCTAAAATATTACTTACACATTCTATTTGCTTGATTACTATTTTAAGGAGGCTTTTTTTTTTTTCTTTTGGAGCCCTGGTGGCACAGTGGTTAAGAGCTATGGCTGCTAACCTAAAGGTCAGCAGTTCAAATTCACCAGTTGCTCCTTGGAAACCCTATGGGGCAGTTCTACTCTGTCCTATAGGGTCACTATGAATCAGAATTGACTTAATGGCAGTGGGTTTGGTTTTTCAGGGTTTTTTTTGTTTTTTGTTTTTTTTTACTATCATTAGATCACAATTTTGCTAGAATTACTTTAATAATCAATGGATAGAAATACTTCAAAACATGTTAAGTAAGCTCCAAAAGCTCTTCTCTATTTGCAAAAACTCTAACTATAGACAAGCCATAGCTACATCTCATATCCCCTGTATCTTCACATAGAACCTGAACATTCAGGTATTCCCCATATCAAGGCTAAATTTTCACAATTGGTTGAAAGTAAAATTTGAGTCAACCAACTGTTACAGCCTACAAGAAAACCAACAACCAGTTTCAGTTTGTTATTTTTCTTCGATGCTGAATGAACTGACTGACTGTATTGAGCTGTTTTTATATTTTTCTCCTCCTGGGATGTCACATCGCTGAAGAATTTCTACTAACATACAACCAATCCTTTCAAAAGACAGATATTCCCTTAAAATTAATCGTTTTCTAATCTAAAACATCTTAAAAGTGGAAAAAGCAGTATTTCTAGGCAGAAACATATTTGTTGTCCCCAAAGACTCTAAACTCTAATCAGATTTAGTCCAAATGCCACTTATTAACTACGTGTTCCAACGCAGATAAGAAGACATGCTGCTAACTTACCATTTGGTGACAAATGTCTCTTTCTTCAAGTTTCTCCCCACTGGTGTTATTATTAGCAATGAAGAGAATGACTTATAAGCAGACTTTTTCAAAGCCTAAAGAAGAACAGGGTAGATTCTCATCCCTCAAGTTTTCCCCAGGAACTGTAAAATACTTCACTTAAATTATTGTGACTTCCTGAAAATGAATAATAAATTTACCATAGGGAGAGTGTTTAAGTCTGCTGTTAATTTTTTCATCCCACAAAAAGTATACTGAATTGCTTCTAAACAGTAAGCACACACACAAAAAAATAAAGTTGAATTTGATACTGAATAGACTAAATGCTCTAGGAGGGCAGGGGTCTTTATCAATCTTGTTCAGCATATGTCTCCAAAGCACTGTTCATTAAATATTTGTTAAAAAGTGAATGACAAACCCGTACATTCAAGGAGTTTGTGATCTTTGAAAATAAGTACTACAAACTATTCTAGACTCTGGGGATATAGCAGTGAATAAAACAAACCTAGCGCCCTCATGGCATTTATAGTCTAGTGCTGGGGTGGTGAGGGAGAAGAGGAACAAAGCAAATCCGTTTTGGGTAGATGGGGCTTCATTTTAAAACCAATCTATAAAAAATCTTACATCCTCTATAGTTAAGATCTCAACAATTTTATTAACCTCTAAGGCTTTCATGGTTTCAAAGATTCTGTTCATAATGGGAAAATCAGGAGTCTAAAGAAAATAATCCCCTTGTTCTCTCAGAGATATCACAATTCCTTTGGTTCACAGGCTTGTGGGCTCCAATCTCCTTGTAAAATGATGATGACAATGATGAAAATACCAATACACGTATACATTCCTATGTACACAGTTAACAATTTTCCTCTGGCCTTCCAAAAATTGCTTTCAAGAATTATAAGAATAGAATAAGAATCACTTCAGGGAATGTTCAAACTGCTTTTCTAAAACTAGAAATAAACATAAGTAATTGAACAACACCTGTAATGGCACAGATTGCTGGTGTATTTCTTTCTACACTACTTAGTCACAGCAAGATGAACTGTGTCAAACTACAGTTATGCGTCGCTTAACATCTACAGTACATTCTGTGAAATGGGATGTTATGTGATTTGGACACTGTGAACATCATATTATCTACAGGCAGCCCCCAGGATACGAATGTTCGACTTACGTACAACCCATAGTTAAGAACCAACCCCTATAAAGCCTATTACATAAAAATTCGAGGTACATACAATGGTTCGTAATAACAAATGGGCACTACTCTGTGACACGCGTCAAAACATTATTATTATTATTACTGTATTATTATGTTAAAGATGTTTCAGTGTATCTATGTCCTGTCCTCTGACCGGGATTTCTGAATTTATGCGACCACGGACTTACATGTGTTCGGATGTTGCCCGAATGAACATTATGCAGCATGACTGTAATGCTTCTCAACCGGGATGACCTTTTCCCCCAAGGGTCATGTGACAATATCTGGAGAAGGTCACAACTGGGGGAATGCGCGTTACTGGTATTAAATGGGTAGAGACCACAGATGCTGATAAACAGCCTACAATGTACAGGACAGGTCCCACTACAAAAAACTCTCCAGCACAAAATGTCAGTAGTGCTGAGGTTGAGAAAACCTATGTTAAAGTATAAGCTTCACAAAACCTAAGACCAGTAAGAACTTCCTGACACAAAGTAAATACTCAAAAATGTTTGATACGACAAAATTAAGTGGAATACAGTTATTACACTATATTGAAGGAATAGGCAGCAATTTCACTTACTTTCTTCTCCTTCTGTTATCACTGTCTTCAAGGCTTTCAATAGAAATTACATAAAAGTCAATAAAAGGTGTTAGAAACTTAAATGATGTACGTAATTTGTTTTTCCATAGAGTAAATTCTATATTTCTATCAAACTTTTCAAAAATAACATTAAATTTCTCCTCAAAATGAATAAAATATTTAAAACCATAAATATCTCTCCCTGTGTAAAATCCCACTATTATTTTCTACGAGTCACATAAATAATAATAATGGTCTACTGTGAAAATATAAACAAAAAAAAAAAAAGCTTGATCATTGTTCTCCTACATTTTGATAAACGTAATTCTGGAAGCTAACTTAGATTAATAAAATAACATCAACAGAAGCTAAATACAGGTGATCTAAGTTAATCTCACTTTGAGTTCTTTCATTCCATTATTAATTACTGCTTCCCACACCTAACCTCAAAAGTCACTTTGGATTTGTTCTCTCAAAATTTAAAGGAGGGTAGATGAATTTCACGTATTTTTTAACGAGGCATCCCATTTAACTTCTTCCATTTGCTTGGGTCCTGACACTAAAATAGACCATATTCCTATACTGTAAGGTTCTACTTTAATTTCCATTGTAACTAAATGAAAAAAAGACAAAAGCTTTTTTCTTTTAAAAACCCTAGACAATTGTGTTCCTGTCCTTACTGGGAAAGGAGACAGGATATCACTATCCCAAACCAGCACCTTTCGGCAACTGAAGCCTTTTTGTCCTCACCCTGAATGTTACAGACAATGGCTCCCTTAAGCATCAGATTCCCTGAAAGTGTTACAACTGCTGAATGGATTTTCATGGAACATAAATCACATTCCCACTACCTGCCACTTACAAACCTGCTTCTCATGAACTTTGCACCCTGCACAATAATGGGGTGCATCATGTCCTTTGTGACAGCTGTGAACAAGGGGACTGTTTGCATGACCCGTTGCCGTTGAGCCAATTCCTACTCATAGTGACCCTACAAGACAGAGTAGAACTGCCCCATAGAGTTTCCAAGGACGGCAGATTCGAACTGCCAACCTTTTGGTTAGCCGCCATAACTCTTAACCACTACACCACCAGGGTTTCCATGAGTAGGGCATTTTTCCTTTAGGCACTTAGATTTTTTTTCCACTTGTGCAATAATTTTTTTTTAATTAAAATCACTGGAACATCCAATTCCCATATGTCAATAAAATTTTAAAATACTTATATACTTGTATCTTCATATAACTGGTGAGCATT